GTGTGTGTGTGTGTGTTTTGCATGTGCCTGGATGGAGGTTAAAAGGCAACTTGCAGGAGCTGATGCAGGGGCTACGGAGGGGTACTGCTTACTAATTTGCTCCTCATGGTTTGCTCAGCCTGCTTTTTTACAGAATCCAGAACCACCAGTCCAGGGACGGCACCACCCACCATGGTTTGGGCCTTGCTCCATCAATCACCAATTGAGTAAATGCCTTACAACCAGATCTTATGGAGGCCTTTTCTCAATTGAGGATCCCTCCTTTCAGCTAACTCTAGCTTGTATCAAGTTGACAAAACTCTCATGGGTTGGGCTCCTCTTTCTACATTTTCTAGAGTTATGTCTAGTTGCTTGAGCAGATTCAAGTTTGATTTTTATTTTCTGGTTCATAATACATGACTGATTTGACCACTTTTGATCCTCTACCGCAGGATAAACCATGAATGGCAGCTGCTGTACCTGCTCTCCTGGCAGTAAGCCTGAGTAGGGATGGGATTCAGGGGATGTCTCTTCGTTTCTCCACCACAGGACTTTTTGCTTACCTTGTTTCATGTACACTTCCTACTTCCCTTTGGGAGGAGGCATCATTAACCCTACTGGACAGACCTGGAAACTGAACCCAGAGAAATAATCTGCCAGAGTGTAGGGTCTGTGATCTTCTGAGACAGGCTTAGAAAGCAGAAAGGTTTTCAGAGAACAAGACCTCTAGCATCCTTGTAGGACCATCCCTCTTTTCGTTTTTGCCTGAAGATGGGATTGGCTTGTTTTCTTGACAAAGAACTTACGATGTATAAACTCAAGTGATACTGAAGTTCTACTCTCAACATGGACTCTTTTCCCAGTATAAGTACACAATCTCAGGAAAATGATGGCTCCCAGCGGTGGGAAGAGAGGCTTCCCAGCTGCTATTCAGGGTCAAGGTACCCTTTGCTGACTCACAGGTTGTTTCTGTTATTAAGATTTGGGTTTTGATTTTATTTATTTTTACCCCCCCCCCCATAGGTTGAGCATACATGTCAACTTTGCAGAAAAGCAGCTAACTATGCTGCAAGGGGAGATTTCTGTATTAGCTTCCTGGGCTGCTGTAATGCTGTACCCCAAGCTGGGTGAGAGGCTGCAGTCTGAAGCCAGCATCTGCAGACACCCAGGGAGGCTCCACTCTGTCTTCCAAGCTTATGGGTACTGTCAAGGGTCTGGCTTTTTTTTTGGCACATGGCTACATCACTCCATCCTCTACTGACGTCATCACACAACCTTCTCCCTGCGTGTCAGTGTCCAGATAAAATAAGGACACTAGTCCTATTGGATTGGTGCCAACCTAATGACCTCATCTTAACTTGATTCCTCCATGAAGACCCAGTTTCTAAAGCAGGTCAATGTTGCCAGGTAAGTCAGACACAAGGATATCAAAGAGTCTGTTTGGGGAGACAGTTCAATCCACCATAGCCATTTAGGACAGGATGCTGTGACCTCAACCAAATCATTAACATGATGCACAATGAAGATGGCATATGAGGAGTTCTGGGTTCAATCCCCAGCACTGTACAAACACGCCTCTTTCCCAGCACTCAGGGTTAGACTGGAGGATCAGGAGTTCACACTTATCTTTGGCTATGTAATGAGTCTTACAGATCAACCTGGGCTACCCAAGAGCCTGTCTCAAACAATAGAAAAGTGGGTCCTTTAAACTGACCCCAGGTGAGACTCATAGCTAGCAGAAGTCTGAGGCCAGAAAGGCCTCACCTCCTGAGGCCCTTGCCCTTCCCAGCTGGCTGAAATACTTCTGGAAACTCTTCTCATGCACTGTTGTAGGAGCGGCTCCTAAGCAAAAGTGTCAAGTGTAATGGGGGCCCGAGGGCCACATCACAGGGGAGGGCTGGGAGGGAAGGAAGCCGCTCTTAGGAAGTTGCCTTTGGCCCTGTGTTGCTGGCCAGCTGAGCCAGGGCTGGCAGCACAGCCTGTCAATATCAAGGGACAGAAGCTAGAGGCTTATGTGAAAACTTTTGTAGCAAACAATATGCGAACCAGCCCATCTAGAGTGAACACACGCGTGCATGTTCAAAAAGTGAGTGTTTCAAAAAGTGAGTGTTTATTTCAGAGATACGAGTTCACTTGAAAGTCTTTCCAGATGTCCTGGGCATGAGACCAGATGTCTTCTGGTTGGAGAAAGCTGGATGCCTGTATGGGTTGGACACATAGGATGATTGCAGAGGTAGGAAGGTCCTGAAACTGGGATGGTGACAGATGGCTGAAATTGTCTTACTGGAGAGGGTCAGGTGAATTTTTTTTTTTTTTCTGAGACACGGTTTCTCTGTGTAACTTTGGAGCCTGTCCTGGCACTCACTCTGTAGGCCAGGCTGTTCTCAAATTCACAGAGATCCGCTTGCCTCTGCCTCCCAAGTGCTAGGATTAAAGGTGTGCACCACCACTGCCCGGCTAGGTGAATTCTTAATAGTGGCAAGTAGGGATAAATGTGGGTTTTTGTATTCCTGGTTAAAGGACATCAGAAAAGGTGAGGTAGGGAGGCAGGACAGTGTCATCCAGATGCCCTTGCCTTGCCTAGTGTTTTTTTCCCCCCCTGATTGTCCAAGGAGGAATTGAGTTCTAGGACTGTTCTAGTAGCTTTCTAATGTTTTGTTACTTTCTTTCAAGTATTAAGCTGACTCTATTTCCAGGGCGGCTGTGTGTGTGCTTGTCATTTATTTGGTCAACTAGGAAATGAACATCTTAGTGCATGAACACACACACACACTCACTCTGTGTGACAATTCTTTTTAAGACAGGGTCTTGTGAACCCTGGATTGCTCTGGGAAGGGGAATTAGATGAGACTTCTTGGGTAAACTGGGGGTGAAGGGGTCAGTGAAGGGGAAGGGATGGGGAAAAATAACAAGAGGGAATGGGATGGTTGAGCATTCGAGGGATGGAAAGGAGAGCAAGTAAAGCAGTAACTTGATAGAGAGAGCCACTAGTGGGTTAGGGAGAGGCCTGGTACTAGGGGAACCTCCAAGAATCCACAAGGAGGACCCCAGCTAAGAACCCTAGCAATAGTGGAGAGAGGGTACCGGAACTGGCCTTCCTATTATCAGATTGGTGAATACCTCAACTATCATCATAGAACCTTCACCCAGCAATTGATGGAACCAGATGCAGAGATCCACAACCAAACACCAGGAATCCAGTCGACGAGAGGGAGGAAGGAATGTATGAGCAATCGAGGTCAAGATCATGATGGAGAAATCTTCAGAGACAGCTGTACCAAGCTCGTGGAAACAAATGAACTTTAGATGGACAGCTGTGGAGTCTCCATGGGACCAAACTAGGCCCTCTGTATGTGGGAGACAGTTGTGAGGCTTGGGCTATTAGCGGAACTGCTGGCAGTGGGATCAGGATCTATCCCTGCTGCATGAGCTAGCTTGTTAGAACCCATTCCCTATAAGGGGATGCCATGCTCAGATTTAACACAGCAGGGATGGGCTTGGTCCTGCCCCAACTTAATGCACCAATTTGTGTTGACTCCCCATGGGAGTCCTTACCTGTTGGGAGGAGTAAATGAGGGAGGTGGGGCGGGGAGAACTTTGGTTGGGATGTAAAATAAAATTAAAAAAAATATTTACAAAAAAAAAAATGGGGTCTTATTACACACCCAGGCTGGCCTTGGACTGGACTGAGTACCCGAGTTCCCGAGCGCTGCAACAGCAGGGGTCTGCGCCATCCCTGACTTATGGACAGATCTCTTTTTAAAGATTTATTTTTATGAGTGTTTGTCTACATGTAAGTGTACTGCAGACAATACTCAAAGAGGTCAGAAGACAGTGCCGAATCCCCGGGAGCAGGAGTTGTGAGCCACCATGTTTGTCCTGGGAACTGAACCCAGGTCCTTTGCAAGGGTAGTCAGTGCTCTTAACCCAAACCATCTCTCCAGCTCCCGGTGGGTCTCTTGAGATTGAGGCCAGCCTGGTTTACCAAGTGAGATCCAGGATAGCCAGAGCTATACAGAAAAACCCTGTCTCAAAAACAAACTCAAACAAATGTTTATATTAAATATTGGAAATCACAACTCTTTTTACGTTCTCTTCTGGGAAATGTAAGTGGGAAACTCCATGTAGTATCTTAATTGGAACTTGCCCAAGTATATGGTATTTTAAAGAACTTTAGCAAACTAGTAGGAAGGATTTATTTTAATTTTCAATCTGGGAAAAAAAAAAACCCCAAGAAACAAAACTCCAAATTCTGTTCATACACACAAACACATGCACACACACATATAGCGTCGACATTTTCAGAGCACTGACATGAGGGAACATTGTTTTCCTTCAATTGCATGACAATACTGTTTTATGTGTCACAATAAAAGTTACAAGCGTCTTGTCTGCGGTCACTCAAACATCATGAATTTACATTTCAAGACACACACACACACACACACACACACACACACACACACACACACACACAAAAAAAAAAAAGACGTCTTCTGGCACATCATCCCTGCGACCACGGCCTGTTTCCATAAACATTAAAAAAACCCAACAGTGACTGTTTGGAAGGTGTAGCCTTTCCAGATCCAAACTAAAACCATGAGAGATTTGCCATTTCAGAGAACAACCAAGATTTTATTCGTAGGTTTGGTGAAGTCCATTCACCAAAAGGTGTGTTAAAAAAAAAAAAAAAAACTGCATGAGTGTAAAAATAAATAAATCATTGTTGCCAAGCTAGCCTGACTGACAACGGCAGGACACACATCACTTGACCCATCACCTCCCATTTTCAGTTACCTATATTAAAATTACAACTTTTCAACAAATCGAGTGAAAAGAAAGGTTTGAAGATGTTCACATTCGGGCTGGCTGTCTCTTCAGCAGCACGTTGGGGTGTGCGGCAGCGGCGGTGACATGTTGCGAGTTTGGACATAAGGCACCGTGATCTGGACATGCCAGTCACTCACTTTCAGTCCCCTGTTCCATCCCAGTGACTTCTTTGAAATGAAAAATAGTACTAATTTCAGGACACAGTGCACTTTAATGACAAACAGCATTGAAAATCCCTCGGACGGGGGTCTGAGGACAGTCTTTGAATGCAAGCCTGAATCTTCTTCAAGCACATACAATCTTTTCCTATGCTTACAAATCACTGGAAAAATACCCATCGCCAAACCCTGATATACATTCTTAGCCATTTTATTTTCTTCTATTGCAGCCAGTGTTCATGAGGCAAAATGTGACCCCGGGAATTTGTTCAAGTTCTCTTGTGAGGGCATCTACAGTGGTCATTCTGCCTCTGTCTCCTTCTGCTTGGCACCTGCCAGGACGGAAAGCAGAAGTTTCAAGCTCATGCTCATGGCAGCGTTCTCTGCACAAGTCAATCCACCCAGCCTGGTAGTGGCAAAGGACAGTCAGAGGCTTCCAAACAGAGAGGTGGGAGAAACAGTTGGCTACAAGAGCCCTACGCCCTCCCACCATCACTTGGGCTCTGATCTTTATCACATCTTGCCATTCTAAATGCCAGATCCTATTACTGGAGAAGTAAAAATAAATAGGCAGTTATCTCAGCTGCCATTCTTACGTATCAAAACAGCATAACACATCTAAGGACAACTGTGCACAGAAGATACAAGTTCCTGGTGGTGTCAGCTAGGGTGGCAGGCACAGGCACAAACTACCCACAACACCTCCCTAGCTTTTTTTTTTTTTTTTTTCAAATTAAGTTAAAATTTGTCCAGGTGCTTTGCCTACATCTGTATCTCTGCACCATGCCTGTGCAATGCCAGAGGATGTGCTTCCCTGAAGGGGAATCCCATAGGCACCCAGCATGCTGCTCACTGAGGGCACAATGCCTGCATCTGCAGCATTCTCTTGGTATGCTGGGAGGGAGGCAGGCTGTAGAGACCACTCATTCGACAGCTAAAGAAAGGTACACCAGGCCGGAGAAATGGTTAAGAGAGCACTGGCTACTCTTCCACAGGACCCACATGGCAGCTCACAACTGTCTGTTCCAGAAGATCTGACACCCTCATACCAATGCACACAGGTGGGGTAAGTGGGACTTGGCTTCTTGGTTTCCATATATACCATCACTTTCCCGATCTATAAGCACACTAGTTACCTTGCAAGAGACAGCATCCAGAGCTCATGGGAGCTCTGCTCTAGATAGTAGGAAATCAGTATACAGACTGTCAACAAGAACTCCAACCCAGCCACCCCATTTTTATGACAGGTAAATCCATTCAAATGTCAGCTGTGAAACAGTTTCTGCACTGTACCTACAGGGATGTGAGAAACAAGAATGACTGACAACTTTGGAAATCTAAAGTCATACCCAGTCTGCTCAGGCCTATGTTGAGACACCAAGGCTCAGGGAGAAGGAGCCACTTGCCAGTTTACTCTTGGATAAATGAGGGCCTACGCTCAGCTCTGCCGAGGTGACTGCTTGACCGAGTCCAGGGCTGGTTCTGGAGAGGGCACTACCTATCTGCGGGGATGCATCTACACAAACCACAGCATTCTCATTTGCATGGGGAGCGCCTGTGGTTCTGTCTGCTTGGAGGTTCACTTACACAAAATCAATCACAAGCTACAGGTTGACACCTCTTCCCAGCTTTGCTTGAAATATAGTAGCGCTATTCACTTTCAGGGCTGTGTGGTACTCCACGGGATGAGGATCCCAGTATCCCCTTCCATCCTTTGAAAGGCACTAGGTTCATTTCCAACTTTAAGGTTGTGGTGGTTTGAATGACAATGGCCCCCAGTTGGTACAACTGTTTGGGAAGGATTAAGGAGTATGACTTTGTTGAAGGAGGTGTTCCAGTTGGGGTGGGCTTCGAGATCTCAAAAGCCCATGCCACCCCCACCCCAGGTAGCTCCCTCTCTCTTTCTGCCCATTTGTTGATCAGATGTGAGCTCTCAACCACTGTTTCAGCACCATGCTCTACACCATGATGGTCGTAGACTCACCCCCTGAAACTGTAAGCCCCAATAAACTCCTTCCTTTGTAAGTTGCTTTGGTCCTGGTATCTTTACAGTAATAGAAAAGTAACTAGGATAGGTTTATAGTATCAACACAAATCATTCGTCTGATGCCTGGTGGTTCATGATTGTGAAGCTCATTGTGAACTTCAGCCAACGAGTCTGAAAATAACTACAAGAGGCCTATCCACAGACGTGTTTTCGGATTCAGCACACGGCAGGTGGGGCCCCACACGAACATCTCTCATAACTTCTGCATGCTGCCACTGCTGCCCAAGGTCCCTGTGAAGGTGACTCTTTCCTGTGGTTGGCTCTGTGGCTTTTGCATCTGGAGAGTCGGGCAGTACTGTAGCGGTTGCTGGGGACTCTTATGGAGGGTAGTTTTAGGGAACAGACTAATTACAAAAGCTAGCTTTAGCTGAGACTGATTTCTGAACTAAAGAAAAGCAATACCACAGTGGGTACATAATTCAATGATCAACTGCTAGAGTTCAAAGTATGTGCCACCTATTGTGGTCTGTGACCCTGTGGAAAAAAAGCTAGGGGTTTCCATGATGGGGCTGGAGAGGTGGGGGAGGGGATGCAAAGAGAATGTGAAGGAAGGATGTGGCAGTGTTTTAAGGCCTCATCAGGCCACCAATGTGCCTGTACCTTCCATCCCTGCCCCTCTGTGTGCTTTCTAGAAACTGCTCACCCAAGTAAACATTGAACTTCAAAAATGAAAAGGAAAGACAAAAAGGTCTGTAGAGCAGCGCATACAAAGTCCTACTGTGTGGGAGGGAGGAGGACAGGGTGTCTTCAACACCTCAGGGCCTGTCCTGGAAACCTCAGATAGAAACAAGTCCGTCTGTCTGTCTGTCCATCTACCTGTCCACCTGTCCACCTGTCCACCCACCCACCTATCTTTTTGAGACAGGGTCTCTTTATGTAATCCTAGTTAGCTTGGAGCTCACTATGTAAACCAGCTGGCCTCGAGCTCACAGAGATCGTCCTGTCTCTGTTTCCCGAATGCCAGGATTAAATTCATGTGATACAGTGCTGACTTGAAATCTGTATTTTTACCTGCAGGTGTGAGGATCAGAGCTTGCAAGATGTCTGACAGGGAGATAATACCCACAATACTATCTGCTTCATTTACTACCACCAGCCGATGGACCTGCAAAGAGAAAAAAGTTCAGGTGTGTGTGTGTGTGTGTTTTGTGCGTGTTGTACATTTGGCATATGGGCATATATGGAGGCCAGAGGTTGATGTCAAGGTTTTTTGAGACAGGGTTTCTCTGTATTGCTTTGGAGCCTGTACTGGAACTAACTCTGTATATAGGCTGGCCCTGAACTCTGAGATCTGCTTGTTTCTGCCTTCCAAGTGCTGGGATTAAAGGCATGTGCCATTACTTTCCAGCAGCCTCACGTTTGTTTGTTTATTTATTTATTTATATTTTCTGTGTATGGGCGTTTTGCCTGCATATGCATCTGTGTACCACATGCATGCAGTGCCCTTGGAGGCCAGTAAGAGGGTGTCCAATCCCCTGGAACTGGATGGTTGTAAGCAGCTATGTGGGTGCTAGGAATCCAACAAACCAACCTGTGTCCTTTGGAAGAGCAGTAAGAACTTGTGGCCTCTGAGTCATTCTCCAGCCCACCACCACCACCACTACCACCACCACCATCATCATTTAGATGATGAGACTCTCTCACCCAACCTGAAGCTTGCCATTTTACTAGACTGGCTGGCTGCTGAGTTCAGGATCCAGCTATCTCTGCTCCACCAGAGCTGGGGATACAGGTCTGTACTGCTGTCCCCATTGGGGGGAGGTGATGGGATCTGAATTCAGGTCCTCATGCCAGCACAGTGGGCAATTTATCCACTGAGCCATCTTCCTAGTCCACATGTGAAAGTTTAAATTAAAAATATTTTAAAATGCATGTTGGAAAAAAAATGGCACTCATGCAACGATACAATGAATACTGCTAAGGAGGGGTTAAACAGTATGCAGAAAGGTTTGAGCCCAGAGGTGAAATGTAACACCAATTTGCTTGACCATAGTGAGAAAAATGAGCCAGCTCTGTCTGCTGAGATTTCAAATTTCAAAATATCTATAAAGGAATCATGCAGCTCAAAACTAACATCTGTGTGTGCACGCACGTGGTGGGCATGGGGGCCAGAGCTCTGCCCACACCAGGTGACTTCCTCCATGCTTCTCCACAGGGTTTCTCCCTGAACCCACAGCTCACTGACTCAGTGACACCGGCTGCCCGCAAGCCTCACAGATGCTCTTACCTCTGCCTCCTTAGCACTACTCCATATGGCCTTTTACCCAGCAACTGTGGACCAAATTTGGGCTCTTGTGTTTGGCAATCCCCGACTCCACTCCAGTCTCTAAATTTTAATACTCGTCTCAGTCTCTTGCAGCCAGTAGGTAAGGAAGTCCAGAAGGTGGTGGGGACTAAGGACTGGGCTCTCTGCTCTTTTCGCCTCCCGCTGTGGCTTTTCTGTGGCAATTCATGTATTAGTGCTGATGTTCAAGAGGGGAGCTGGCAGCAAAGCTGGAGTAATATCCTCTACTGTTCTGGCCTCACATCTTCTCAGGAGAGAGCACACGTGTGTGGAATAGCATTCCAACTCCCTGTGATTCTGCCTGGGGCCAAACATTACCTGGGAGATCCTTGAGGCCAGCCAGCCTTAGCTCCTGGCATAAAATGTGATGCAGGGAGGAAGTCTATGTATGTTGTCAAAGGATAACGTTTTTGATGTCATAACTGACTTTAGGGTTAAAAATATAAGTTACTCTGTTTATATTGTCAGTCAACTTAGATTTCTTTACAAAGTTTCTTTAAAAGTCCTTTCAGGTCCCTCAGTAACCCTGTGATAAAAGGCAGCACTGTGATTGCGGTTTAGGATAAACTGATGACTTACTTTATCTATTTTCATTATGTTTATTTATGTATGTATGGGGAGGCATGCCAAAATATGTCTGAGGAACTTTTAAAGTCACCTTCTTGTCAAACAGGCTGATAGTGACATACACGTTCTGGCTCTGGGAGGAGTCATCTGGTGGAGGGATTTCAGTAACAGACAGAAGCAAGATATGTAACTTGAGAAAACAACTTATTTACATCACTTCCCTTCACAGCTTTTTTTCATATCACAGGTTTCCATGGCCCCCACATAGCACCCCAGAGTGTGGGTATTACTGGGTGCAGTAATTGGCCTTTCTCATGGTGGCACTCTGCTACACAGTGACCTGTGGTTCTCACAATGAGTCCCACCACATACATGCCACCATCACAGGGAGACATGCCACCTTTCTTATTCCTGCTTCTGACCTATGGAGGGCATATGATGCTAAGGACATTCATGAGACATTAGGATGCATTCCCAAGTTCGTTAGAACCTTCTAGAAAACAAGATGGATGTAGCACAGTTTAAGAAAAGGGAAGATTTACTATTAAAACCCTGTGCTAAAGAGCAATGGAAACAGCTGGGGAGGAAGAAGCTGAGGGGATGCCACATGGAGGCTAGACTGTGGGATGGCAGCTGGATTCTGTAGGATGGACACTAGACTCTATAGGACAAAGCCTTGGCTACACAGGGGCTGAGAGGAATTCTAGCAGCAATGGCTCTCCATGCAGCACATGACCTCAGCAGCATGTGCTTTCACTGTGGAAGTTATGGTTGCCTCTTAGGGGCCTCAAAGCTAATCAGGCATTTTGTCTCTTAGCTTACACCCCTCTATTTATAATACTGAAATCGACTTGTCATTAGGAGTTCATTTTGCTTAGTAAGGAATGTTCTGGAAAGAACAGAACTGTATCCTTCACACTGGAGGAGGGACAAGGGCACAGAGGATGCCACTCCTAGCCCTGTCTGAGAAGAAAGGAACAGTTGTGGGGACAAGAAGGTGGGTGACACATACTACAGTGACCTCCCTGTCTTCCTTCCTTGAAAATTCCACAAACAATGAGGTCCAGTCAGTGTGGGGGTGGCTGCTCAGGCTGGGAAGGCCCTACAGTTTACTCTTCACTTCAGCCAGGCACAGAGAGGAGAGAGAGGAATTTAACTTTACGAGGTTTTGTCTGGGGTTGGTGAGATGGTTCGGGGTAGATGTCACACAGCCTGATGATCTGTGTTCACTCACTAGAACCCACATAAAGGGGAGGAGAGATCTGACCCCCACATACGTGGATGCACACACACACACACAAACACAATTCAAGTTTCATTTTACCTTATCATTCACTTTGTTAAAATAACATTGTGTATTTTTGCTTTGAATTCACAGATATTCTGATAGGATGTATTAACTAAAAGCTCCTGGGGCAACTTTTGTTTTCTCAAGTGTACATTTTTTATACTCTGAAAGTACCTTGCAGGGGAGGGGGCTGGAGAGATGGCTCAGAGGTTAAGGACACTGGCTGCTGTCCCAAGGACCTGAGTCTAATTCCCAGCACCCACATGGTGGCTCACAGCCATCTGTAATGAGATTCGGTTCCCGCTTCTGGTGTGCAGGCACACATGGAGGCAGAACACTGTATACACGATAAATAAATCTTTTCTTTTTATGGTTCTTTTTAATTTTTTTAATTTATTTTTTTTTACATTCCATCATAAATACATTTTTATTTAAAAAAAAAAAAAACAAACAAGAAAGTCCGTTGCCAGTACTCACAAAAATTCACCAAATTCACGTCTGTGTCAAGCACTCCTATCCTACAGAACCCCTGGTCTCCTCACAGGGCTGTGCCTCAGCCTCCACAATCATGCATTCACTATCTGTTGTGTGTGCCTGCCGGTGGCCGGCGCCTCTCACCTCGGCTCTTACTATCCTGTCCACGATGGTCTCCAGCGTTTCCAGCTTGCTGCACTTCACCACACCCTCAAAATACTGTGAGCGGTGCTGCAGGGCCTGGGTCACTGTGATGTCTAGGTTATTGTATGTTTTCTCAGCAGCAAGATTCTGTGACAGAGTCAGTCAGAGGAAAAAAGTTACCTTCTTCATTTCTATTCAGACAAATGAACAACCTGATTTTGAGAAGCATTAACATGGAATTTGGTATCAAGAGTTCTTTTCTCAGCTAGCATCATGCCATCAGCATGGTTGTGTCAGTCATAACAGGATATCATATTAGTAGGTGTAATATGGAGAAATGTAAATTTGTTGTGTTGGTAGTATGGGGGATTGAACCCAGGACCTCATGCAAACTAAGCAAGTGTTCTACCATTGAGCTACTGTCCTAGCCTCTCTCTCTCTCTCTTTTTTTCCAATTTTGAGCCAGGTCTTCCTAAGTTACTCAGGCTGGTTCTGAACTTACTGTGAAATCAATTCAGGCCTTGAACTTGCAATCCTCCTGCCTCAAGCTCTTGAGTAGCTGGGACTACAGGCTTTGTCACTAGATTTGGCAGATAGATGTTGTTTTTTACATTTAAAAAGATTTTTACTTTATTTATATTTGTGTGCATGTGTACACACACATGTGTCTGTTTGTGTATGAGTGTGTATATGTGTGTGAGTGTGTGTGTAGTGCTTACAGAGGACAGAAAAGGGCATCAGGTCCCTTTAAGTTGCAGTTACAGGTATTTGTGAGCCCTCTCCTATGACACTTGGACCATCATGTACTCTTTTTTTTTTTTTTAATAATTTATTTTCTTTCATGTGCATTGGTGTTTTGCCTGCATGTATGTCTGTATGAGAGTGTCAGGTCCCCTGGAACTGGAGTTACCAGGCAGTTGTTAGCCGCCATGCAGGTGCTGAGGATCCTCTGGAAGAGCAGTCAGTACTCTTAACTGCTGAGCCATCTCTCTAGCCCCCCCCCCCCATCATGTACTCTTAACCACTAAGGCAACTCTCCAGCTCACATGTTAAATTCTGACTGTTTTCTATAGGTTCGCCCCCATTTTGTCCACTAAGATTCTACACCACACACGAGCAAGGTCTCCTGAGAAATGAACTAACCCTGAAAACGGTAAGATGCATGGGCTGTAGGGATGGAAGCGATGCACCCCTATCAAAAGCCCAGGGACAGCCGAACATCAGCACACACTTACACAATTCACTGGTATATCAGTGAGTATTAGAGATATTATCACTGTGAAGAGACTGAAATACTCCAAGACTCTCACTCAAAAGGTCAGAAATGGTTACAGCAGGGAATAAATGACTCAGTCTAATTTCAGTTTTCATTTGTTTAGAAATGCATTCTAAATGACAGGTTTAAAAACATGAAAAAATACTTACAATTACATCAAACTTGGAATAAATATCTACAACTTTTCCTAAAAATGGAAACATATGTTAGAAAAACATTTTAGGAACAAAATAGCAACTCATTAAAGAATCAGTCTTAACTGGGTAAATACTGTGGATTAAACAGTGTTGAATAAAACAAATGGACTTATTTAAAAATGGATATGAAACAGAATCTTAATGGAGAAGGAAACTAAGCCCATTTAACATTCTCATTCTCCTGATTGCTGACTGTGGGAACTGTATCCCAGCATTCACTTCTGTGCTGTCTGCCCATTTCCCACTCCTTTTGGTCCAGGAGCAGGGTATTCAGCTTTGCCAGATGGCCTCACAGACCTGACTCATCCACCACAGGCAGTGCTGATATCCGTCTCTCCACAAAGATGTTCAAGGCTTTGATGATGGGAGTGTCTGGGTGAATGAAGGCAATATTGTGGTACGTTCCTATTCCAAGTTCATCCAGGTTCTGCTTCATGAAGGCAGGCTTTGGCATATCAGACATCTGAGCAAGGAGAGACATGAGAATGTTCTAGAACCCTAGCAAACCCCTTCAATGCTCAAACATTCAGATCTTTGTTCAACTAATTAAAGGTACTGTTTCCTAATTGTCAGCTTAGTGTCTCATTGTTATCAAAGCTACATCACAAATGTCTCAAACCAGCTGCTCTACATGTATCCTTCCACACAAAAGTGATTCCAAGAATTCATGTTTTCCCTTCTCTTTACCAAAACTGTGGGGTAGAAGCTGGGATGGACAGGTCTGTCTGGGAAATGAACCCTTTATTCTTAGTGATGTACATTCTGCCCTGGGACTGGAAGTGACACTGAGCCCTGTTGTGTGCAGACCCCAGGGATGGCTGGCTGAGATCAAGCTGCTGCTTGTTCCATCAGACAGCCACAGCCTGCACTCTCCCCAGAGGAATCTTACAGAGTAAGCTGAACACAGCGGAAGGAACCTTAAAAGATTAGTTTCCTTTTCTGACTGTTTCAAAGGAAGAGGGATAAGTTGGAAGAAAGTCTAGGACCAGGCTGAACTACAACAAAGTGAGGTCTACGGTTTCAAAGAATCCACCTTTTATAAAGGGCATAGCTGACACCATCCTCCTGCTGCTGTACCTTATAATTATCAGGAAAAGATGAACAATTAGAAGAAACAAAATGTTCAAGTCAAAGAGTTCATCAATATTCAAATCATGAGATTCCTAGAAATTTAGAGAGAGAGAGAGAGAGAGAGAGAGAGAGAGAGAGAGAGAGAGAGAGAGAGAAAGACCTATTAGGTCATCCAATCCATCTCATACAGGGTATTCCCGCTTCTGTCTGCCTACTTCTCAAGTGCCTGGAAGGGTATCACTACCCTTTCTCAGAAGGAGCCTGATAACTCAGTAAAAACCAGGCTATGGTGTTTCTTTATTTAAAACATGTATTTTTATCTGAGATGGCTGAATATTTTAGCTGCAAGGTTCTAGCTGCCATATTGGTCCAAATATAAGGCAAACCCCTTCCTCTCTACAGACTAGATGAGTGAAACTACGAACAGCATCAGCAACACCAACCGGGCAGGCTGCAATAAGGATAGCTTGTGCAAAGCTCCCAGGGTAGTAGTGCCTGCCACTGGCCAACTGTCACAGATGGGCTCTAGGGGCCTGAGCTGCCAGCCTGGCCCTCCACTCAAGCTCTTGGTTTCTATGTCTCACCATGGAAGGCTGCCACAATTACCAACTGATGGACAAAACCCCTCACTTTCTTCCTAGGTTGCTTACTAAACGTCTTGGGCTTTTTGGCAAATCATTCCTGTCCTGATTTCTTAGCATTTACTCAATCAGGAAATGTAACCTGTCTCTGTATGCTCTATTAAACCAGTTGGATGACCAACGATGTCTCTAAACCCTGGACACCTTTGTAAGATCCTGGACTTGCAAGGCTACATCCAGAAGAGCAATTTGCATGCCATGCCTGGTGGGAAGCTTTTCAGTGTGTTTTCTTTAGAAAGGAAACAAGGATCCTCCTGACTGAGGACTTCAACTCTGCATTTAGCACAGGTGCTGGGGAGGGACATGGAAGCCTCCTAGCACATTCCTGCCCCGGTGGAGCCTCCTCTAATGCTACCCATCTCAGAGGTTGTGAACACAAAGCACACAAGTGCACTATGGTGTACCTGTTGCTTACATCTTACTTGCCTTGGGATTCTCTGGCCGCCGTTGCAGTCGAGAATGAGATAACTCCTGGGATGGTGTTTTTTGCTCATGTTTCTAAAACCACGACCTCAACAAACACACCATGAAGCAATTTCTACCTAAACCCTGGCTCCATCCATCTGGTGCAGTAGACCTCAATGAGACTGACCTAGAAACTGCTTTAGCTGCCCATGCACAAGAGATGCCCATCTTCAGGGGGCATTCCCCGTTTCTATTACTGTTAATACTTGGTCTAAGAGACTATAGCATTTGAGCGGGCCTCAACCTAGAGAACACACAATGTGCACAGTAGTGAGCTGAGAAACTGAAATGTTGCAAAATGGAGACCTTGGAACTAACGGTTTCTTCTACCGAGAACAACAGGAGCCCATTTACTTGATGTAAGTGACAGTCAATGCAACTGCATCTTTAGGGACTACTTACAAAAAGCTGGAGGAACTTGAGGATTCTTTTGTGGGTAAGTATATAAAGTGCATTCCCACTGATAGGGTCAATAACTGGCAATCTGTGGATTTTATTTTTGATCAACGAGTATACAGCATCGAAGAGGCTGCGGGAAAAGCCATTAGAGTCATTAGGAGGCTTTCAAGGAAAACCAGAAAGACTGTGGACCACCCCTGCTTTACAGTATTTTCACTGCTTTTATACTACCATAAGAAGTTCACTGGCTTAAAATAGTCACGGCAAAGCTTTACATGGGAGCTATCTGCCCATCTGTTGCTATATCTCAAACTCAAGAGGGAAACATGGATCTCCAGCAAGGCAGGTTGTTCACAGTGTGTCCAGCGGGTTTGTTTCAAAAAGGCAAACCTTAAGCCTTCCAGAAAGCCAGCAGTGACCTCAGTGATCTCAGCACTGAAGTTGGATGCCAGACTCCCAGGGTGTCTGCCTGCCCTGCCAGCCCACCTGAGGGGACTGCCCTGTGTCCTTATTACCCTGTCTCCAAGAAGCCCTATGACCGGAAATAAGATAACAAAACGAAGTGTATTCTCTCTGTACAGCTCTTGGGCTTTAAAAATGTCTCCTTCTTTGTCCATCTTGTGCTGACAGCCAGAGGCTGAGTCCAGCACCTGCTCTACCACCAGGCTGTGTGAGTCCTGCTACACCCTTCCTGTTCCTTCCAGAATGGCTCAGGTCTGGGCTGAACTCACTCTGGGAACGTTTCACTGCTGTTCCCAGGACCCAGCCTCTCACAGCGAGGGCTGGGGTCAGGGGTGAAGCCCGAGCTTGGTAACTGTTACAGGGTTCCTTTACTGATGGTACTGCAGGTGAACTGGATCTTTAAAACTGGCCTGGGTGAAGCCGGGGTGGTGGCAGCGCATGCCTTTAGTCCCAGCACTTGGAAGTTCAAGGCCCCTACCAAGCTACACAGAGAAACACTGTCTGGGGGTGGGGGGAGGGGAGGACACAAAAAACAAAAACAAAACTAGTCTGGATGATCACCCTCAGACGGTTTCCAATCACTTGTATCTGTGTGGCGGTTCCATCCCCTCACCCTCCTTCCTCTCTTAAGTCTTGTTAAGTGGTCCAGGATAGCCTTGTGCTTGCTATGTATACAGCCCAGGTTGGCCTCAAATATGCAATCCTCTTAACGTCAGCCTCCCCAGTGCGAAGATTCCACCATGCCTGGCTTTGCTGTGATTCCCAACATCTCTCAACTTCTGGCATACTCCTTGGATTAGGAGGCTGCCCTATCTAGACTTGTCTACTTCTAGTTACCTATATGACAATAAAACACCTACATTGCAAAGAATGTTTTCAAAGGGAGAGAAGAAGCTTCCATGTTTACCTTGCATCAGGAGAGATATTCACCAAAGGCTTGAAGGTTTCTTGTAAGTACAACTCTGCATTTGTAGAAGGGAAACACAATTAGTTACAGATCTACTGTGCACAATGCTGTTTTACATTACAATATCCCCCAGTTTATAGGCAATAACTGGACGGACTGGAACACAAATAAAAGATGATAATTTACCCTAAGCTAAGGTTACATAGTCAGGGTTATTTTAAGCAGCCTCAACTGTTCTCTCTTTGGAGAATAATCAAACACAGAAAAACCCTGATATTTCCAAAGATGCCGATAACACCAGGAAACACTCTGATGTGGAGCAATGGCAGCAGAGGCCACTGGGTCCTATCAAGTCCACAACACTCTGAAGAAATCAAACATTTACAGACTCCTTTAGAGCAGACTTTCATAGACTGGGAGACAGCATCACTCTAAACAATGTTGTTCTTCAAATGACCTCATTTTATTTCTCTCAACTGATGCTTTAAACGCAGGGCATGTTGAGGATCTTGCCAGCATATGCACATTTTCTTTGTAAAGAGAAATCAACTGTAATTAATTTGCTTTGCTAAGGTTTGCACACAGAAGGTATCTTGAGACCATCTTGATATTATTACACCTTCAAACTTGCCTGTAGATGAAAGTGTAAATATATCTAAACCATGGTCAATGGAACGTATACAGCAGAATTTGATGAGAAGTGCCTGCCTTGGTATTGTCAGTCATATCACTGACAGGCCATCTGGATGCCATGCTGACTTAACTCATTTAGCCTGCCTTGATAAAGGCATGCTCAACAAAACACATCTGTTGGCAAGATTTCAAAACCATGAGAAATGAAGAGGGCCTGCAGAAGTCTGGAGAATTCAAGCGGAATCTATGATTTCTCCGCTACCCTTAAAAGCTGGTTGTCCTGTCAAGCACATGACAGAAACAAGACCAGATTCCTAACACCTAGCCAAGAAATGTCCTGCAGTTGGTCCCTCCCCTTCTACCCAGGCTCTTCCTTGAGCATGGGGCCAGGGCTCTAATGCTGGGATCAGTCTGGGTCCTTTGACCCACCCCTGCCCATTATGAGTCTTTGAGATGACAACCTTCCCATAATGGAACGAGAGTTTAAATACTGGTCCAATTGTAGGCAAAAATGGTGTGGCAAACAGAGTCCTTTTGTATGTACTAGTGTATCTATCTGTGTGTATGCATATTTGTATGTGTGTGCCAGAGAGTACCTCAGAGGCTCTCCATCATGTTTTTTGAGACAGAGTCTGTCCCTGGGTCTGGCTTTGCTGATTCAATCAGGCTGGCTGACCAGTGAGTCCCCTGAGATTCACCTGTCATGGTCTCCAGTGCTGGTAAGTGCACACTCCCATGCTTGGCTTTTACATGGATTCTGGGGACTGAGCTCAGGGCTTGCATAGCCAGCACCTTTCTTCCCAGACTATCTCCCCAGCCCAGGAGCTCCTACAATGGTTTTCTTATTATTCAGTCTGAACTGTTCAGGTAGAATTTCTCTTGCTCTGGTTTTGCTGAATTGTTAAAAGAATGATTTCAGTTTCTTGGAGCAGAAGCTTGCTCTGGGCCACACTCAGGACATGGTGACTAGATATCTGAGGGTGAAACTCGGTGGTCACATCACTCATCTCCACAGCCTCGGGCCTAGTGGAGTAAGGCCACGCACGTGTGACAACAGGCAAAGTTAGGAGGGAAGAAAAATGAAAAAGAAACAGAGTTGTAATTCAGTGCAGGAAATGACCTAAGACATTTGCGTAACATTTTCTCCAGACAGTGAAGAGTTTAAGACCTGGCAGTGCTTACCCCTCCACGTTTCAATCTTATGTTCCTCTAATTCATAAATCTGTACCTGCAAATAAGAAAAATCCGAATCTACAAGTGTTACCATCCACAGGGGAAAGTAGCTACACTCCTGCTTTCTGTTTATGATTAGAAAATAGGGATGAGAAAGTATATTTAAATACCAAGAAATCTTTAGCCCGTCTATCGACTTGACTTCTCTTTCTTCCTTCTTTCTTTCCTTCCTTCCTTTCTTTTTTTCCAGACAGGGTTTCTCTGTGCAGCTTTGGAGCCTGTCCTGGAACTCACTCTGTACACTGGGCTGGCCTCGAATTCCAGAGTGCTGGGATTAAAGGTGTGTGCCACCACCACCATCCAGCTTCCATTTTTTTAAAAAAAACTATTTTTTTTTTTTATTTTACCTGTCTATCTCAGTTCCCTCTCCCTCCCTCCCTTTTACCCTCTCTACCCCCTCACATGCACCCTGACCACCCTCCCCTCCCATCCCCTCACCCCCACTCCATATGTAGGGCAATGCCATCCAGTTGGGGTCATGTAGATCTGTCAGGTCATTTCAAGTAGTGACTAGGGCTTCTCTCCTGTCTCTAGATTAAGGCAGTTATCCCTCCATGGAGGATGTGTTGTGCACCAGGAATACATCCTGGCTCCACTGTCTGAGGTCCCTTAAGACTGCTCAGTCCTTCTAGCTGAGACCCATATTCAGGGGGGCCTGAGTCAGTCCCATGCTGGATTCCCAGCTATCAGTCTGGGCCAGCTTCCATTTTTTGTTTAATAAACAACCACAGAGATTTGCTATATGACCTCTGCTGTTCTTTATCATATATATAAAAAACACAGATTACTTAAAATCTGATAAAACTTCATTTTTCTCTAAGTAGGATATTTTTTAATTAAATTTTTGAATAAGCAGATAAAAGTAACAGGTTTCATGGTGGCACTTCTGTTTCTGTATCTCTCTATACACCATTCTGGTCACCCTGCATCTCTATCTCCCCGTCGATTGTCCCCTTTCTTCCCACAAATGGCCCCTCCTCCTGTTTTATGTCACACATAATCCCTTATCCTCTCATTCCTCCCCTCTCCGCCCTTCCTCTTTCCTCCCCTTTCTCTTCTTTTTTTATTAATTTATTTTTTACATTCCAATTCCAGTTCCCCCTCCCTCCTCTCCTCCCCACCATGGTCTGCTCCTCGGAGAGGGTAAGGCCTCCCCTCCCCTCCCCTTCCTCCCTTTTCACAGTCCACTTTCTACCTTCCTGTCCTATGTATAAACATCTTCCTTCTAGATTTTTCCTCATGAAGAAACTCATTTTTGTATTTTATATGGGAACTACAGCCATGTGCCATTCAGTGACAGTTTGATCAAATGATGACTGTCAGAACCCACAATGTGGCCGTCTCAGTCTGAGTAAAACATTTTGCTGTGTTTACACAATGGGGTCAATGGAAGACACACTTCTTAGGACATGTTTCCTTGTCAAATAATGCACACTAGTGGACAACTGACTGCCACCTTAAAAACACCCTAACTGGAAAAACGTCTGCCCTTTAGATGCCCAAATAGTAGAACTAGTTAAATCAAACAGACAACTGTCCTCTCCACCACAGCAAACAAAACCAAACCAAGCAGTGTTTGATACAGGGCAGACTGGGATTCAATTCAAACTGCCCTGCTAGAACATCTGGGCTAGGGGCCAGGGAGGCTGCCACCAACGGCATCCAGAACAGTCTTTCCCCAACTTGGCAGCAAAGAGTAAGAGCTGAATTTCTTCCATTGTGATCTGACTCTTTTTCTAGTTTCCTTATAGTGGCTATAAAACTGTGAAGGAGGGGCTGGAGTAGCTCTGTGGTGGAGCCTTGCCCAGCAAACTCAATGCTTTGGGTTTCCCTCCAGAACTGAAATAAGTATGAAAAATAAATCCTGGATGGGTGATGAGCAACTCTCCAACTCCACCCAGAACAACAGGCCTTCAAAAAGAAAGCCCCTTCACCACTTTATCTCTAGGGTGAGGCCCACAGGCCAACCACTAAGAGGAAGTGGGGGGAGGCACCGCCCTTCCTGATCCCAGCAGAAGCTGGTACTGTGTGGCTAGTCATCAAGCTGCAGGAACTTATATACATCAGGGCCCTAAATCAGAATGGATAATTCTGTAAGCTGAATAAAGAAGTTTCTACCCTTTTTTTAATTCCTGGTACCTTTTCCAAACTTCAAATAAATGATGTGAGGCCAAGTTTACTGTTTACTTGGGTTAGAAGTCTTAAACATACTGGGAAAATCCACCCCATCCTAATCTCTCTCTCTCTCTCTCACACACACACACAGAATGAGATCTCTGATACTTACCATAGGTGATTTATAGTATCTGTGCAGTATATTTATGAAATCTGTAATAGTGAGCATTCCTAGAACAAAGAATCACAGGTTAAAAACAAAACCAAGAATCTGTAGAGATGGTTCAGTGGTTAAAACACTTGTCACCTAAGTGTGAGGATGGGAGTCTGGATCCTTAGTGTGGTGGCTCACTTGCAATTACAGCCTTATAAGGCAGAGACGGGGTCCCCAGAGTAAGGTAGCTTGGGAGATTAGGCATATCAGCAGCTCTATATATGATTCAGGAGACCCTGCCTCAGAGAATAAAGTGGACAAGTGATAGAGGATGATTCCTGACATCAGTCTCAGGCCTTCACATGCATGCAAACATGTATGAGCACGCGCGCGCGCGCACACACACACACACACACACACACACACACACACACACACACACACCATACACATATATGGAAAAAGACACTCAGGAGGAAAGCTTCCAGTGGCAAGTGAATCTGCAATGTTTACTAGAAATTCTTGCAAAATACAAAACTAAAAATCTCAGGCTCATGTAGTGATATTTTGTTTGTGCTTTTAACAAATAAAACTTGCCTGAAGATCAGAGTGTGGCGCTAGCAACACTATTTAGCTATAGAGGCCAGGCAGTGGTGACCTTTAATCCTAGCATTTGGGAGACAAGCAGCCATATCTCCATGAGTTCAAGGCCACCCTGGGCTACACAAGATTAAATCAGTCTAAAAGAGAAATAGCTTACACTTTTGACCCCAGCATTAGGGAGGTGGAGACAGGAGTTGATATGGCTGGGCAGAGAGAGGAATGTAAGGTAGAAGGAGACAGGAGCTCATTGAATTTATAGAGACAGCATTCAGTCTGAGGATTGGGAGGGACAGGATCGCCCCTTTGGTCTGAGCCTTGGTAGAGGTAAGAGGTCTCTCTAGTGGCTTGGCTCTTTTGCTTTTCTGATCTTCAGTTTTAACCCCAATATCTGTCTCTGGGTTTTTATTATTTGTGGTACATGCATTTCCTATACTAAAGTAGAAATTCAAACCAAAGCTTGATAGACAGTATGGAATCTCCTGATAGACAGTATGGAATCTGAGCATTTGGCAGATGGAGAGAGAATTCACCAACACTCATAAAATACCACAAAGAATTGTAGCTACATGTGAATAACTTTAAGTGCTTTGGGAGTTGATGCAGACATTCCCTAAGTGCTATAAAGATGGGACCTCTGAGGCACCTGGACCGTTTCTGAACACAATGGGTTCAGCAAAGAGCCACCACTCACTGAAGACCTACTATGTGTTGGAAACTAGAGTTGTGAAGGTGACAACAAGAAATATTTTCTATAAGAACATTACAGGTGCTGGCTGGGTGGTGGTGGCACACACCTTGAATCTCAGTACTCAGGAGGTACAGGCAGGAGGATCTCTGAGTTTGAGGTCAGCCTAGTCTACAGAGCGAGTTCCAGGACAGCCAGAGATACACAAAGAAACCCTGACTCAAAAAGCAAAACGACAACAAAAGAACATTATAGTCTAGAGGGAGAGCAGACTGAAGTAGTTAACTTCAGAATAACGTTCTAAACACTAGAGTAACAGCATTGTTATCTGGGGTCAGATGTGATAGGTTTACATAGTTGGAAGGCATAAACCCTTTTAGTGCGAGGGTCCCGCCCAGGACCCTGCACACCCTAAGCAGGACCTGTGGCCCTGACCAACAATCCTAGCTCTTGCTATCTTAGACTGGAATTTGCAATTCCCCCCTGCCTCCCAAGTGCTGGGATTACAGTCATGTTCTCCCATATTCAGGGCTTAGCCAGCATTTCTAACAGCTTAATGATTTATCAGACATTGATTATATTCACATTCTGATACTTGCTGCTGTTTACAGGGTGATAAGCATTGACTGAGCAGAGCCAGCACACACCTCAGAGCAAGTGCCTTGAGCTCATCTGACCACATCAGAATGCTCAGACTTGCTAAATTAAAAGAATGCCTTCCAAACAAATAAGCACTTGAAAAGCAAAAAGACTGCAATAAAAAGACTGGCTAACATTCACTAATGGTCTGATCTGGTTCAGTATGCAAAAGCCAGAATGTTCTTCAATTTGGAAAATGTCTATCCGGCTGAACCAGCAGGGATGGGGAATATGGAGTACTCTCAGGGAAAGCTGGTCTTTAGCAGACATCCTTCCCTAGCCCTGTCACTCTGCAGGGAAAAGAGGTCCCCTCTCAGACAGCATTCCCCAGTCCTGGCACCTTCAGGGAAAGCTGGTCCCTGTCAGACAGCCTTCTCAGACCTGCCACTCACCTACAAAGCTCTGCTTTTTACTTTCCCACAGAGGCGCTGCACGGACTCCGTTGGCTACTAAGGCAAAGAAGGCCTTTTTGACCTGGAGAAAAACCAGAAACAAAACATTGTTTTAAAGTGCACATTTCAGGAGGAAAAGACTCAATTAAGGTTTCAACCGAATCTTACCAGTAATTATTGATGTAAATCTGATAGGCTACAGATACCATTTGTTAGCAAAATGATTTTTTTTTTGTAGCCTGTCATCTTCACAATGCTCACATCTAGAGCTGCAATCAAATTACAAAAAAAAAAACCCACAAAAACCCTTATGTTTTTCTTTTGTATGTGTGTAGGTGTATGTGTGCGTGAGTGTGGGAACATGTGTAGAGATCAGAAGACAATTTCAGTGTCTGTGTCAGTCCTTGCCTTCCACTTTGGTTCGGGATAGGCTATCTTCTTTGTGGCTGGCTGCTGCATACACCAGGCTAGCTGACTGACAGGTTTCCACAGCTCCTCCCACTGAGCCTCCCATTGAACTGTAGGAGCAACAGATTACAGACACACCCTACCAAGGCTAGCTGTGTACATGGGTCCCTGGGATCTGAACTCAGAGCCCTACAGTTGTAGCAAATGGTTTGAGCACTGAGCCATCTCCCTCATAAGACTTTAAGTTTACAATTTTGTGTTCATTCAAAGCAATATACTCTGGGTTGCACGAGGCCTTTGGGGCTGCAGGCTGGCCACACCTGGTGGGGGGGGGGGATGCGGATTAATTTTTTAAACTGAAAGGCAATTTACTTTAATTTTTTTGGCTATAACTAAATATTCTTGTATACACAGAATTTCTATAATTAAAATCATACAAAACAATTAAATATCAGCTTAATTTCTCCCACAGGCGATTGGTAATTCATCTGAAACAGTTATACTGAATTATTTGAAATAATTGGTCATTATATTGGATATCACAACAAATAACATGTTTTCACACCCCTCCCCCATAGATGAGAAAGGCATACAGTTATAGCTGCACTTTATAACATGGGAGACAAACATGGGCTCTAACACACACCCTTAAGGGTCCTGTAAGGTGTCACCCTTGATTAAGAGCCAAAAGCTTGGGGCTGAAAACAATCCTCTAAACAGCAAACAGCAAATGCAAACAAGGAAAACATTCTGTGATCATTAATAATTCAAGGAATGCAAATAAAACATTAAAACATTATTCAGAGCTGCTTGCTGCAGCTTGGACCCTGGAGTGGTTCCCAACCACCTATGTGGAAGGAAGTTAGACCACTGGGGGTGTAGCCCCGAAGAGGCCATGGGGACCCTATGCCTCTTCTTTCTCTCCCTGTGCAGCCTACGCTGGTCTGGAACTCGTTTTAGGCTCTTCTGGGTTTTAGGATCCCAGGTAGTCCACCACTCCTGGCCCTTCCCCTTCTCCCCTGCCTCTTTGCTTCTCACCACCATGGGATGAACAGGCCTCCTCTGCCACCTGCTAGCACCATGCTGCCATTGTCCCAACCTAATCAGGAAGAGTGACAGTGGGTGGCAACCTGGGGAATTTCCACAACCAAGCTCTTCCCTTTAAAGTTGTTTATCTGGGGTATGCTGTCTCAGTTAAACAAACATGCTTTTAAGTCTCACCTAATTATTTTAATTTTTTTACTACATTCATTTATTGTGTGTGTATGGGGACAGTTCATGCCACAGTGCACGCGTGGAGGTCAGAGGACAACTATGGCAGTCAAGTCTCTCTTACCACGTGGGTCCTAAGGATTGAACTCTGGTTATTGGGCGTGGTGGCAAGCACCTTTCCCAGTGAGTGCCTTGTGCGCCTACCAGCACTATATTAAGTAATGTGTGCTGGATAGTTTTATGTCAACTTGACACAAGCTAAAAAAAAAAAAAAAAATCTGAGAGAAAAGAACCTAAGTAAGAAAATGCTTCCATAAGAACAGGCTGTAGGGAATTTTCATAATCAGTGGTCAATGGGGAGGGCCCAGCCCGTTGTGGGTGGAGACATCCATCCCTATGCTGGCGGTTCTACAGGAAAGCATGCAGAGCAAGCCAGTGAGCAGCACTCCTTCAAGGCCTCTGCATCAGCTCCTGTTTGCAGGTTCCTGCCCTGTGTGAGCTCCCGTCCTCACTGCTTTCAATGACGACCTGCTACATGGGACTGTAACGGAAGCAAACCCTTTCCTCCCCAGTTGCCTTTGGTCATGGTGTGTCATCACAGCGACGGTAACACTAAGACAGTGTTTAAGTACAGCTTACATAGAGAATCACAAAACCACTCCGATTATTTGTACTATAGCTTGTTTCTATTGAATTATTTTTGGGAGTGGGATTCTTTCAATTAAAGACGTTCAATGTGGTATTATGTTTGACATTAAAAACTGGAAAAACATTCACCCAACAGAAGAAAACTATGGAAGTAGGAGCTTTTTTTTTTTTTTTTTTTTTTTTTTTTTACAAAAAAGTATGTATGCAGTGGTTTGCCTACATGAATGTATGTGCACTGCATGTGTGCAGGTCAGAAGGGTGTTGGCTCTCCTGGAACTGGAATTGCAGGTGGTTGTGAGCTCCCATGTGGGTACTGGGAACCGAAACTGGATCCTCTGCAACAGCAGCAAGTCCACTGAGCCAGCTCTGTGGGGTTTTATATCAAATATTCACATATTTTGACTACTCAAAAGCATTAAGCAACTCTGGCCTAAAACCCCTGCTCCTAAGTGTTTCAGTTACAAGCATTCCCCGGCCCTGAACTTAGCCATGGAAGAGAAAACTGAATAGCACCAACTCATGCTTGTTTGTTTTAAAGACAGGGTTTTATAGCCCTGGGTCAAACTTCTGATCCTCCTGACTCAACCTGGCAAGTGCTGGGATCATAGTCGTGCAGGACCACACTTCACCCAAACACAGATTTGTGTGTGTGTGTGTGTGTGTGTGTGTGTGCATGTGTGTGTGTGCATGCGTGGGTGTGCCATGAATGTGTGAGAGGCTCCATTCTTGATGCTGGGGGAGTTCCCTCCTTTTCCTTTCCTGTTCTCCACAGGGCCTCCAATATCACAGAGGGCCTGGTAATCTCCACCATCTCTTATTGTATCAGGATGTGATTCACTGGGGCAGAAATCAGACTCAGTTGTGTTCAGACATTTCAAGATCTCTAAATAATCTTCCTTTAAGTGTTATTTATTTTACCCCTTCCAACTCATGTCCATTTTCTTTGACAACAAAAGTAGCACAGGCTGAGGAGAAAGGTTTCTCCAGCCACAGCAGGGCCCTAATCTTTGATCAAGGGACCAGTTCTTCCTTTTCTTTTTGCCTTGAGAATACTGAGTTCCCTATTTTCCTTGTGCATAGTAATTTTTACCTCAATTAAAATTATCTTGTGCATCCCTCTTCTTGCTACAGTCTTCTATTTTATTTTGATGACATCTACATGTATATGTGTGTGTATTTAACCCACCCCACCCCACACATACACTTTTGAGATGGTCTTGCTATGTAGCTCTGGCTGGTCAAGCATTCACTATGCAGACCTGGCTGAACTGAACTTGCAGCAATTCCCCTGCCTCTGTCTCCTGATTTCTGGGACTATAGGTTTCAACACCATATTCCGGAATCTTGACCTTTCTTTTGTGATGGGGGATGTTCTTCTGTATATATGTCTGTCTTATTGGTTGATGAATAAAACACTGATTGGCCAGTAGTAGCCAGGCAGGCAGATAGGCAGGGCTACCAGATGAGGGGAATTCTCGGGAGAGGAAGCAGAGAGGAGCAGCAAGGAGACACCATGTAGCTGCCAAAGAAGTAACATGCTGGATTACAGGTAAGCCACAGCCTCATGACAATACATAGTTTAATAGAAATGGGTTAATAATTAAGAGAGAGCTAGCCAGTAAGAAAAGCCTAAGCCATTGGCCAAACAGTTTATAATTATATAAGCCTCTGTGTGTTTATTTGGGGCTAAAGGGCTACAGGATCTGGAGGGACAGAAACTCCATCTTGCCACTGTATAAGAATCACCTTTTTTTTTTTTTTTTTTTTTTTTTTTTTGCTAGAAACCCCATGACAAGTTTTCTTGAGTGAACATGACACAGGCCACTCACTATTCTCAAGAGACTGACTCCCAGTTAGCCTTGTCACCTTCTTGTTTGGGATAGGTTTCACCATGCCCTGTTTCCCACAGCAGGAAATGGCGTCCACATGGAATGAACTGTAACATCTTGCTATCTTATATCTGCAGAAACGTGGAAAGAATGTGATTTGTAAAGACAGGCCAAAGCAACTGGACACTCAGTGGAACAGACTGCTACAAGTGGACCCATTTAATGCTCTGCTGTGCAGCTAGAAAAGGCCTAAGTTCAGGGAATGTTAAGTGAGACTGTGATGCTGTTTGTTACTCCCCTAGGACAATGAAGACAGCACCACTGGCTGAGCCCTCCAGGGCAATCTGCATGTTCAGCACCTGAGGGCACACTCTCTTTGAGCTGCAGAAGAATGCATGTGCCTTACCTGGGGGCAGTGCTGTGTCACCATGCAGACAGCTCTTGGAGCAGCCTTGCTGGTGTTCATGGGAATGGTATTCGGGGCAGCAGAAGGCCAGTGCAGGTAGCCTTCAAGGGCAACCACGAAGGAGTAGCCATTAGAATGATCTGCCTCCACAGGGATCTTTGGTGGCAGCTAATTGATTAGTGTCCCCAGGAATAAAATGGACCCAACTTTCTCATTTTATTTTAGCTACTTAACAAGAACTCTATAATGGCCAAAAGCCTGACTTGAGTCATCAAATAAAGGGGATCCTGTCCTTCGGCTGTTTCCAACCTGGGCCACTTTTACATACAGATTTCCCTGCTTGGTGTCCTCCCCATGGGAATTGCAAACAGGGACACAAGGCACTGGACATCGATTCTGACCATAAAATGCCATTCTAGTCGTCTAGTAAGGGTGGGGGCTCTGCAAATCAGGTAGCAGGTAGTATATCAGTTTGAGCTCAGGTCACCAAAAGCACAGCAGGGCTGCAGGCTCTGGCCATCTCCTCTGCTCCTGAGTGTGTGATCCTAACTCGGTACAGAAACTCTCTGGGGCTTGTTGACTTCAGCTACATAGGAAGCTTCTGGGATTCCTGGCTATCAGGTTAGCAAATGACATGAGGAGAACATCCCTGGGGCTGTGCAGAGGTTGACGTCCCTGTGGGAGGACATTACTTGCTACCACAGGACTCTGAGTGACTTCCGGAGGCTTCAGGCAGACATTTACGTGTGCTATGCAAGGTCAATGCTTAGAAAGCTGCACAACTAGTAACAAATCTACACCAGAAACACAAACTGATGCAGCCATGTTGTCCCTTGTGATAATTCTTTCCATTTGGGAAATCATTCCTGGTTCACTGCTGGGCCCTGAGAGACACTCACAACTAACCATGGGATGCCAAAAGACCATGCAGCTCTACCTCAGCATTGCCCTGACCTCTGAGCTAGCAGCTGGTGTAGGTGGAGACAGTATTAAACTTGGGGGGTTTTACAGGTGGTCGAGTGGGCCTCTCCAGACCCAAGCTGGATTAAGCAAGAACACTCTTCCTCCTTTGTTTCAGGGTGACACACTGTGCCAGCTCCACTCTGCTCTTGCTTGTCAGAGCTATCCTCTGGCCTTGGAGCAGCCCCTTTTTAGTCTCCTTGGAAATGGCTACCTGGTTTACCAGATCCATCAGTCTTGGAGTACTGTGGTTATTACACATGCTGTTCTATACCCCCTTTTAGAAACAGAACAAACACAAGTTTTCAACAAACTTCTTCCTTCCTCCTCTCTCCTTTGTTGTGGGATAATCTTTTTGTACATTGTCAAGATGTGTCACTCTGACTGGTTTAATAAAAAGCTGAATGCCCAATAGCTAGGCAGGATTTCTGGGCGGAGAGGATGCTGGGAAGAAGGTGGAGATGCCAGGTGACACAGAACAAGCAGGATGGGCAGTACAAAGATGAGGTAATAAAGCCACAAGGCAGAAACTCAATTACTAGAAATGGGGTAAGTTATTAGAGCTGGTTAGAAACAAACCTAAGCTAAGGCCAAGCTTTCATAATTAATGTCTTTGTGTCTTTTTTTTTTTTTTTTTTTTTTTTTTTTTTTTGTGAGCTGGTGGCCCAAAGAAAAGCCTGACTACACCCCTCTTATCTCAAGTAGCCCAGGCTGGCCTCTAACTTACCATGCAGCCGAGGATGACCTTGAACTCTTGATCCTCCTGCCTGTATCTCCCAAATGGTGGGATTGCAGGCACACACCACTCTGACTCTTTCCTTCTTCTTAATGGTGACATTACAGTACTCTGTGACATGCCCATTTTGGAAGCCATTCATTCAACAGAACTCTGGGAATGGGCACTCAGGTTGTTCTGCCACTCTGGAGTGTCAAGGACCACTGCTGTAGTTAGTGTTCATCGAGTACATCTTTCCCTTTGCTCTAACAACACCAACATGCTCCGTTTCCTTGTTCATAAATTCCAGCTCCCTCCAAGCTCAGACACTACAGGATAAGTGACTTCTGGGACGGATATACACATGGCTTTGGTTAACTGCAGAAATGATATTTGCTAAATTATTGACCTTGGGCATCCGGAAAGCATTGCATTTTTCACATATTACTCATCCTGGCTAAATTCTTAATTCCAAAGAGTGTGAAGCCTAGGGCACAATGAAATCTAGGTAAACAGCATACTCATGCTATGTAAACATAGAGTCAAGAGCTGCAGCTTCCGGAAGGAAGTGTGGGGGACACAGGGGTGAGGGTGTAATGGGCTGGGCCAGCAGTTTATTTTGGGCACTAGGAATGTCTAGATTTTTTTCTTCCTGATTATTCAAGACAGAGTTTCTCTGTGTAGCCCCGGCTGTCCTGAACCTTACTTTGTAGATCAGGCTGGCCTCGGACTCACAGAGATTTGCCTGTCTCTGCCTCCTGAGTGCTGGCATTAAAGGTGAGCACCAGCATCACCCTGCAGAATGTCTGTCTAGTTCTTTAAACACTGAAAATTGTAGCAATGGCTGTAGAGAAGTTTCTTAGGCTTTATAAAATGTCCACCTTCCTTATTTATTGTAGCCATGTGTTTGCTTTCTGTCCTATGACCAAGAATCAGGGAATCCCAGGGGCTTAAAGGGCTTAAAAGGAACCCTGAGGGTTACCCAGTTCAATGAGAATCTACCAGCTCTTGGGTCTTAAAGCTCAATTACAAAAAAAAAAAAAAAAAAAATGCATTTCCATAAATTTACAAAAAAAAAAAAAAAAAAAACCAAAACACAAAAACCACCCACACACTCTATCTTCCTGTTGGTCCCATGTGGCAGGGACAGAAGGCAGGAAGAATGGCTCTGAGAACCTGGTGTTTCCTCTAAAGTGTAACATATGGGAACAGAGATGGTGGTAGGTGAAAGGCAGCTGGGCAAAGCAGGAGCCTGAGAGGCCTTTCTCAGGGCAGCTCTGGATACAGAACACAGAGGTTGCATTGGGGTTCAGGCTGAGGCTGCCTCCTGCAGGCTGTTGTTGAAATCACACCCTTGCTGGCTCCTGGGGTCCTGTCTCTCTTCCCATACTTTTGGGGTTTTTTCCTGAGAGCACATCTGTCATTAGGCACTTGCCCACAAGTTCCTGGCTCAGTATCTACTTCTTGGAAAACAAATGAGGATAGTCTTACTTGGTGATGTGGTGTATCTGTGTGCATGTATATGTTACACATTTATACATTTTATGCACTGGCTGTAACTCGATTATTACATTGAATATATAAATATAGAATGTATATTCAGAACATATAAATTAGAGCTTTTACATGCCATACTGATAAGCCATACTGATAAAAAAAAAAAAGCTCCAATAAACACAATTTTAATAGTAAAATAATAAGGTTAAATTTTCCTGCTGGAATAGACCAATAAAGTCTTTTTCAAGAAATTATCTACCTCGACACCTCTTTTTAATATTAATCATAAATTTACTTAATAACTAAGAAAAACAGGCACCAATGGGGGGCACAATTTAGTACATATATGCTCCAACCCACAGCAGACAAGTCTTGGTTCCAATTCCACACTTTCACTTTACCACATTAGTTGGGGGATGAGGAGTTTGTGGATTAAACTTTGTATCAGTAGAATGAGCTTGTTCCTTATGAGGTTACCATGGGGATACAGATAAAACCTCACCCCAAGGTCTGATTCTTGGAAAGAGCTCAGCAAAGATCTGCTGCCATTGCTGGATTGAATCCATGCAAGCAGCTGCCCCTACAAGCTATTAGAAGCTCATGGAAGCAGGATGTACTCACTTGCAACGTAGTGTCGAAGACAACAAGCTTTGAACTGGTTGGAACGATGTCATAACACTTGTGTGACCTCATGAATCGCATATAAACACCACTTTCTGAGTCTTCTGCTAAAAAGAAAAAGCAATGGATTAGTATCATAAACAGCTCCCTGACAGAAAAAGTGTATACAGAACACCCACTGCTAATCCTTGATAAGAATAGGGCACCCACTCTTGCTGATTCTATTCAGGGCAGCTCTGGAAGTTCTTTCCTAGTTGGCATAATAGAACAAGATGAGAGAGGCCTGTAGATTGAAAAGAACGCCCCCAAATTATTTGGAAAAAGTAAAGAACCTGTCCCATATCTAAAAGAAACTAGTGTAGCAAAGTCACAAATAAAGTCCCAGGTCTTGAGCTGTTTAAACAAGCTAGCTGAGGATAAGCCAGCTATGGAGCATCCCCCTGATGGTTCCTGCTGTGCGTGTTTTGGGTGTGGAGTGAGCTCCCCAAACAAAGCTAATGTTGTATGGAAGAGCAAGCAGTACCTTCCAGCTCTGAGCAGTTCGCCACACTTGCTGCTCTTGTAGAGGAGCTGGGTTTGGTTCCCAGCACTCAAATGGTGTCTCACAACCATTGTTATTTGTAGTTCCTCGAGATCCGACACCCCTGCTTGACCTTTGCAGGCACTCCATGCATAAATGCAGGTAATAAAATTATCTTATTTTAAAGATGAACACTCAAAATAACACATCTCCCATCACTTCTCCTAGTCCTTTGATTTGGCTGATTCCCAGTCCCCTTTCCCTATCACTACCCCTCACTGCCTCCAGTGAGCAGGCAGGGTCCAGGGTGGCTGCGGAGACACATGGACAACAAGAGGTCTCATCGTCTTTCCTCAAAGCTAATGTAACAATCACAGAGTGGGGGCTCCACCCCAACCTTGCCTCTGAGCAGGGCAAGCAGGAAGTCTCAATGGCTTCTTCCTCTGAAGGCCATGGTCTATTTTTCTCACCAACTTTCAGTTTCTATCTTGTTAACACTGATTGTACATTCTAAACCCTATTTCCCTTGCTGGGCAATTTCTCTGAATCATCAGACTGTTACTCAAGTAATTAATTAACTCAGCTTACAAACACCTACTGCATATGGCTTAGTGTAGGTTCTTTCCTACACTAAGTGTAGGTTCTTGCTCTAAGACCAAGGAGCAAATGGGACAGGGGAGGGAAAAAAGAAAAACCCTTAAAATAAGGCTGTACCCATGAGCAGGTTACAGTTCAACATAGCTGGAGGCAAGGATGTGATGGCAGGGTGCTCTGAGAGGCTGGGTACAGATCTGATCTCCTGCAGGGGACAGCACCCATATGCCTTAGGGGTCAAGCATTATCCCTGGAGCAATGCCTGTAGTTTTTTCTGCCCTGCAGCATGAATACCAACTGCCTGGGGTGAAATAGGAGGACAGGGGTTAGAGAAAAAGAACGTGCATGTACCCTGTCATCTGTCCCCACAGCTCCAGTGTGTCAGGGGCTGAGGCTGTGGCACTCCACAGGGAATGATAGAGCCACTGTGGCTGCCATCCTCACACTCTCAAGCACACCACCAAGGACAAGGTGTGGACTTACGAGGGCTCAGAACTGGTGATGGCTGAAGCATGGATAAGTGAGTCAGCGTGTTGCTGTTTCTTCTTGAAATATTTACCACAAAAATGGAGCCCCGCCCAAGAAGAACAGCGACACTGAAAGGGCTAGGACAAAAGCCAGGAAGGTTCTGTGAAGGGGCCATGCAAGGGGACCCGCAGGCAGCACTGGAACTCAGGGGACACAGCTGGGCAGTTGGCAAAGCCGTGCCTGAGCGAGCCTTGGAGAGGCAGAGCCCTGAGGACTATGTGTCCCGAGGACCTCATGCTGTCACTGAGCGTGGCTCTGACTGTTGCCTTCGTGGTCACCATGTCCCTCATAGTATAGAGTAGTTGTATGAAAATTCTGAGGGGCTTCTAGCCCCTCACTGGGCAGTGTCACTGGGACTTGCAATAATAGTGAATGACTTTTTCCAAGCCTTGCTGCTGGAGCAGACTAGCGATTCAATCACCATCTTACAAAGAATTCAGACTTGTAGATTGTTAGTAAAGTTAGGGAGTGGTGGTTTTGTTAATGGTTTTGATGTAGAAAGGCACACTTCAAAGTTTAGAAAGGCATACTTGTAATGGCTGGGCAAGAGATTTACTGAGCTCAAGAAATAAGAGCAAAGACAGCCCGGTTATTATTAGTTGATGTGTCTTTCTTGCTATAGATGGGTTGGTGATCAAAAGTGATAATTCCTTGTACCCATTTCTGCCCCAGCTTCCAGATATAAAAAAATGACTAATGAATGGGTATGCACCCCCATTCAAAGTAGAGCTCACTGATTGTTTTTCATATATCAAAGTTTAGATACATGATTCTTTTAATATTTCTTATAAGATTACCTTTTGAGATAAATAATAAAGTGATTGATCCTTTCATCCTTTCTTTGTAACCACAAAATGAAGCCTACCAGGAAAAGAACTGGCTGAGAAAAATACCTTGCTTGCTTATACCCTGTTAATCTATAATAAATTGGTTGGACACAAACGTATGTGGGTTCTTGGGTATAATTTGTTTTTCATCTATAATATGTAAAATGTTTACTCATGTAAGGAATAATATGGAAGACTTTGTTTTTTTCTTTTATTCATTGTAATCATTCACTTAAAAGTACATTGTAACTGCATTATAATTTCTATACTGCTTGAAAGATTTTGCTGGGGTATATAAGCTGTAAAGAAAAAACACACAGAATGGACACATCTGGATAGAGGTAAGAAAAGAAATAAAGAGAGATAATAGAGACCCTGAAAGTGTGTGTGTGTGTGCGCGCGCTCGTGTGCCCACGCGCGTGCATGTGCATGCATGTTCCCCTTCTCCCTGGCCCCAGAGAATTAAGTTTTACTCCCTCAGACAGAAAAGTCAAATTGAGTAATTAGTCCCCTGACTGTGGCTTTCCCTCAGTTCCTGAGCTGCTGAAGGCTGGTCCTCACAGCAGTAGTTCTGATCCATCTCTGCCGGCCCATCACTGGTAGTAAATGGTTTCTTCATAACCTGCTCTGCAGACGAGAGCAAGTTACTCTAGTACATTTACCCAGTACCCAAGTAAGCAGCTGCCTGCTAAATATCTACGCTTTCAGAATTCAGACGAATGAAACTGAGACAGACACTAAGAACAATAAAATACAACTCCAAACTTTACAAGACATTTTGTTCATTAGTTAAATCAAGACTTTTGGGTTAGACTGGAGACAAGCAGTAGAATGTTTGTTTCTCATGCACACGGCCCTGTGTTAGATCACCAGCATCCCCACCAAAACCAAGGAAACAAACAGGATTTTCATAAGAACTGTGCATACTGTAGATGCCTATATCTCACTGGATGCATAAGATAAAAATGTGGAAAAACTATTTAGTAGGATTGTTCAAACTTAATTTTTTTTTTCAAGACAGGATTTCTCTGTGGCTTTGGAGCCTGTCCTGGAACTTGTTTTGTAGACCAGGCTGGCCTCAAACTCACAGAGATCGGCCTGCCTCTGCCTCCCGAGTGCTGGGATTAAAGGTATGTGCCACTACAGCTCTGCCAAACTTAAATTAAAAAAAAAATCTGTAAATTTTGTGCACTACATTAATTCAGGTGTTTCATAGCTAGTGAAGTTGACAACTAAGATGAACAATCACAGGGCTCAAAAGTCAACAGTCAAAGCATTTGCCACAAAAGCCCGATGGCCTGAGTTTGATGCCTGTTGCCCACATAAAGGTGGAAGAGAACCAAGTCCTCAAAGTTGTTCTCTGATTTCCACACACACACACAAGATACAGGCTCCCTTCCTTGCTCTACCTCATGTACACACAATAAATAAAAACTGAACTAAGAAGACTTATCCTAAGTCCACCTCTTGTCAACCTGACACATAAACACCCCTCCTATGGTATTTCTTTCCAGACTCAAGGCAAACTCCTATGGATGCCTGTAATTTTAAAAACAAGCTGGGCATGGTATTATGCAGCTATAATCCCAGCAAGAGGGCAGAGGCAGGTGGATCTCTGTGAATTCAAGGCTAGCCTGGTCTACAGAGCGTGTTCCAGGACAGCCAGGGCTGTACAGCAGCCACACATTCCTTGTCTCCACCTTTATGGCAATGTCTCTTCTGGCCAGACTGGGTCATTCAAATCTCTGCTCTGGTTTTTGCTCAAATTCTGATTATAAATTTGGTTAAAAGCAGCAAGTAGTATCTATGCCACAGCTGAACACTGTGCTGCCTTGAAAGTTCCTGCATCGGGTTTCCAGTCTTGAGAGCATAGAAAGGTAAAGACAAGTTCTCTGCTGGAATGTAGTATGGTTTCAAACCCAATTCCTACTGGCACTCTGGTCTTCTGAGCTCCCAGCAGAATAGCCTGCTAAACTCCAGTTTCCCAGCATGTATCCTCCACATCTCCATTCTAAAGGCATGTAAAGCTGTGTTAGGACAGTCAACAGTAGCCCAGCTTCATTACTGCTGATCTTCAGTGTCCATTTCTTTAAAAAATGTTTTAAAGTTTTATCTATGTGAGTGTGTGTGCATGTGTCTTTGGAGGATAGAAGAGGGTGTTGGCCTTGTGTGGATGCAGGGAACTGAACCAGGGTCCTTTGGAAGAGCACCCAGAGCTCATAACTAATGAGACATCTCTCCAGCCTCATGTATATTAGTTACTGTTGTGTCACTGTGGCAAAATACTGAACAGAAATAATGGAAAGGACCAAGGATGTATTTTGGCTCACTTTTGGAGATTACAGCCTGTATGTTTTGTGATCCAGTGTACCTGCATGAAATATGCCACTTTAACTCCCAGCAGCCAGAGAGCAGCCTGTGGTGTGGGCTTTCCCTTTTATTTTCTCTGGGCCCCAGGAAAAGGTACTAGCCACAACATTCAGGAAGAATCTTTTCTCCTCAGTTAATTCTCGCTGGAATCAAACAAACATGGAGCTGTGCTTTCCCAATCTCCTGGAGTAGACAGTTGAGATTCATCATCCAGCAGCTCCAGCACAACTGCCGCAAATAATAAACCAACCCTGACACAGGATTAGCA